GTATTTAACTGATGTCAGGCACACATGACACTAAATGAAATTGATGTTGCAGTTGAGAGCTTTAAAAAGGCATCGCAATTAGAGCCTAATGATGGTTTGTAAAATCTTGTCTCAAGTAAAACAACTGTGAACTCTTACCATGCCCCCTCCTTCCCTCTTCCATTTTCTTTCTCTGTTTTATTATTTTGAGGTTTAGAATAACTTGCTAAGTTTTCGTTTTTGATTAATGGAGTGCCATGTTGTGTCACCTGGTAAAGTTGCATACGATTGTAACCTAGGTACGAAACTTGATGTTATATCACTTAATTAGTTTTTGCTATAATTCTTACTTCTACTTCATCAATGCCCTTCAATTATATACTTTTGAGTAGATTCGGGATGACCTTCATCTTATATCATGTTTTCTTCTACTCATGTGGAATAAAGAAAGAGCTTGCAGCTCCAAGGAAGAAGGTTGACATCAATCTATTCTTTCTCTGAATAAATATTTAATGCTTTCCACCTCGCACTTCCAGTTGATTTCACCTGTGAAGGTAATTGAGTTTGAAACACTGCTGCAGGTTGCCGATAGACGAGACCAGGAGAAAAGGGCATACTCTAGAATGTTTCAGTAGATCTTTAGCCAACTTCATGGTACATCAACAACCTTTCTATTTATTACTGCATACTCTAGAATCTGAGGGATCACACAAATCAAGACCGTCCATTACTGATCTGCCAACTGATTCTAACAAAGTAAGCATCCTTATGTTTTGGTAACTTGTATTAATGCTGAAACTTATTGATTTGTTTAAGCCACTAGGTTCTATAGAGGCTTTGGATCTTTATATTTCTAATGCATAAGCTCTTTCTGGAACCCACTTGCAGGCATCAAAATTGCCAGACCAAAAACCTGGAACCCACTTAAGGAGAACATCTTCTTTCGACAGAATGGAAGACGCTGTTGCAGAGTCCATAGCTACTGAACTTCTCATGCAAGCTCAATCTTCGAAAACGGACCTACTTGAAGACACACGATCTGCTAAAGCTGGTCAACCCATTGAAGAGAAAATGCCTAGGCCTCCGAAACTGATTGAATTTCACAGTATCAAGTTAAGTCGGGTAGTTCAACTAATTTAATTGGTTGTCTCATGTTTTGTATTGCCATTATTTGGTTTCTATTGTCTTACATTTCTATTGTTCTATATTAGGACTATTGTTGAATTCATTTAAGGAGATTTGTAACTTTTAGGGTTTGTTTATTAACTTATAATAATGGTTATATGTTCTTTCTTAATGACATATTTTCTTTGTTTTCTTTGACTAATCGTTTATTATAAACTGTTTGTAGTGTGAATATATTGTATACAAATGGATTGCTTATATATAATATGATATATATATTTAGTATTATGAGGCATTAAATGTGATTTAGTTTGATTATTTGTCAATCACAATATATATATAATTTATGAAATACAATCACGACACACGAATGTAAGTCATACAAATGTGTGTCATCTTCATTTATGACGGGAGCTTCAATGACACGCAATGTAAGTCATACATGCGTGTCATAAATTTATGACACACAAATGTATGTCATCTTCATTTATGACGAGGGCTTCAATGACGCGCAATGAGCGTCATAAATGCGTGTCATAGATTTATGACACAAAATTGTGCGTCATCAAAAATTCATGTCGGTGGCTTCAATGACAGGCATTTGTGTGTCATCCGCACCCATAGATGACGCGCAATGCGCGTCATTAAAGGGTTTTTTTTCTACTATTGTGGTAAAGTTGGTGGTTGAATTCGAATGATAATAGGAATTAAGGATGAAATTGAAAGTTTTCAATTGTTAAAGTATTGGATTGAGTATATTATTTAATTGCTGAAATTTTTAATGTTTGGTTTGGATTAAGTAAAATGGTGAAGGATCGTTTTAAATTAAATGGAAATTCGATGTGAATTCTAAAGTGTAACACCCAACCCGTACCCGACCCGAATACAAGTCTGAAGTGTCACATTGACTTTTCAAACTTTGACACTTAAAGAAAAATAGGGAAATTTTAAACTTTCATTAAAACAAAATACGTTAATTTACATAAAAAAGACCACAAAATACAAAATTGATCAGAGCATTCATAATTAACAACTTATTACATGCTAACACTCTATACATAACCAAAATACCTACTTTGTCAATTACTTCTAATATGATCTTTTAGTAGTGATGTTGTCCTTGCCACTTCTATTACTGCTCTTCTTGTTTCTTGGTACCTATGTGTAAATCACTTACACGCTAAGTCATAGACTTAGTGAGGCAATAAATGAACATGTAACAATAGATTCATGAATATGCATTCTTACCATTTGATCATGACATTTCAATATGCATGTATATATTTCACTATAACATATATAATCATCTCATGCACATATGAAACTTACCTTCTTGTATCACTTTCACCTTAATTTATCTTTCAATTGCCCATGTACTTTATTGAGAACAGAGGTACGTGAGTACATTGAGGTTGTGCACTAATGCTATCACCACAGCTCGATAAATTCCCACTAGGGGCAATGAATATTTGTCCCGAAGGACCACTACGTCCCAAAGGACCACTGGATATGTCCCGAAAGACCTCTGGATATGTCCCCAAGGACCACTGTAACCCTCGACTCTTGGCATGCTAACTATAACCTACAGCTCTCATATCATATAACATGGGCTCAAATATGAATACATTTCTCATTTCATATCTCTTTCATCACTTTTCATATAAACACATATAATCATTTCCATTATTCCACAAACATGGATTGTTTCTCTTGTAATGGCATTTGTTAACATAATACCATATTAAAGCATAATAAATTATGCATGATACCACTATAACAATAATATATGTATGCATGTACATGAGTATAAAATCATGAATGCAACTATCAGAGATAGACTCATCACAAGTCTTATCTCTATACACTTTAACTATAAAATGCACTTACCTTAGCCTTGCTTGTTTTTACTCGATCCTAATCCTTCGTTTGTTCCAGAACGAAATTACGTTCTATATCTACATAGTAATACATTGGTACATATCAATATACTAATTGATATATTCTAAACTATCACTCCTTAGGCTAAAAGAAAGCTATTTTCATCTTTTAATGAAGGTATGCATCGATGCATCCCTTGACGGGTGCATCGATGCACTATCTATGCATCGGTACATAAATCCCATTCGATGTTTGTATTTTAAACAGGTGCATTGATACACTGATGACATTCGATGTTTTTATTTTAAAGGAGTGCATCGATACACTTCATATGCATCGATACACCTTGAATAATTTCTGGGATTTTACCCTTGATGCATCGGTACACATTGAATGTGCATCGATGCACATAGCCCAGAAATGTTATTTTAACACAAAAATCTCTTCATAATCTTCTCAACGCTTTATATTTGCCCTCTTTTTGTATCCTTAACTTGCATACACCTACTTAAACTAATTAATACTCATTCAATACCTCTTAAACTTAAAAATATAATCCTCCACATAGATTTCAAGAATCTCTCTCAATTTTCAATATGTTCTAAATCTAATTTTAATACTTCGTATGTCTTAATTAAGTCGATGACAAGTCAAATCCAACCTCCGATTTCAAATATGAACTCTATTTCAAAATTTCATTCAAGAACTCCTAATCTTTAATTCTTCCTACACCCTTCATCTTGTTGTTTTAAAGCAAATTAAGCTTTCCTTAAGCTTAATTAGCATCTAAAGAGCAAAACCAAACTTAAATTTCAGCAAACAATTAGCTCATAAGAAATCTCACCTTTGTTTTGACCTCTTCACGTGTGGAGAAAGAAGAGAAGAAGAGAACTCTGGAACCTTGTGTTTTGCTTCCTTCTTTCCATGTGTAGCTAATATATATATATATATATATATATATATTATATATATATATAATCTATATATATATATATATGTATCCCTTCTTAATTATTTCCTTGCAAATGACCATTTTATCCTTCAATTCCAAATTCCTTGCAATTTAACCCTATACCAAATTACAATACTATTCAATTATTCTACTTTAATTACCAAATTCTGAAGTTTTACAATTTAGTCACTAACTCGGTATTGAGGCTGTTACATAAAGAGAATTCATAAATGGTGACTTAAATGCAAATTTTATCAAAGTTAAAGGATTGATGATGAAAATAAATATTTATGGAATTGAATAGCTATTTTGGAAAGGTTGAAGTTATAATGAATTTTTGACTTGGTTTATATCCATTTAGCATCGATAATGATATGATCACGGTTATGTGACCCAAGTCATATATATGTTTGCTCGATAGTGATTCTAGTAAGAAACTCCGCAGTGCTTGTGAATGACTTCTAAAATTGCACAATCAATATAATAAGTAGAAAATAAATATATAGAGAATAAAAAATGAAAGGGGTAGGATATGTTAAAGTGGTAAGTAGATGATGGGAAGTGTGATGGTTGTAGAGGTTTAATGGATGTAATGAAATTGGTGACGAGACGTTCCTTTTTTTAGGACAAAAAATGGTAGAAAAGCTTTGAACAATTGAAGTTTGTTCTAACCCAAGCACCAATTTTAACTCAGCCGGAATCTGGGAAATAATCCATAGTGTATAGTGACGCCTCCTTGAATGGTCTTGGGTGTAAGCTTATGTAAGAAGGAAAAGTGGTAGCTTATGCTTCCCGTCAACTCAAGTCACACGAGTGTAATTACCCTACCCACGACTTGGAACTAGCAGCGGTAGTGTTTGCGCTTAAGATTTGGAGACATTATTTATTTGGGGAGAAATGTTATATCTTCACGGATCATAAAAGTATCAAGTACATGCTTACCTAAAAAGAATTAAATTTAATGCATCATAGGTAGGTAGAACTGTTAAAGGATTATAATTATGTGATTGACTATCACCTAGGGAAAACAAATGTAGTGGCAGATGAGCTAAGTAGAAAGTCGATGATGGACTTGAGGGCATTGTTAGCACGGTTGAGGTTGTTTGAGCATGGAAATTTGTTGGTGAAACTTCGAGTAGAGCCTGAGCTAGTGGGAGAAGTTAAGAGGTTACAAGGTTCAAAAAATCGTTTGAGGGCCAGGGTGGAACAAGTTCTCCGAGGCAAGGCTCTAGGATTTGATCTAAGAGATGGAGATGTATTGTACTTTAGAGGTCGATTATATGTCCATACGGCCGAACCTTTGAGCAGTAAGATTCTTCATGAAGCTCATTGCAATCTACTCTCGGTTCACTCGGGGAGTAATGAGATGTACCAAGAGCTTCAACTGTTATATTTTTGGTTGGGTATGAAAAGGGAACTGTCTGATTTTGTGGCTAAATGCTTGGTGTGTCAACAAGTTAAGGTGAAACACCATGTTTCTTCAAGGTTGCTTCAACCGATTTAGATTTCTCAGTGGAAATGGGAGAGATTGATTCTCAACTTTGTAACGGGATACATATGTTGAGACAAAGACATGACAGAGTATGGGTTGTTGTAGATCGGTTAACCAAGTCAGCTTATTTTCTCCCAGTGCGGATGGATTTCACTATAGAGAGGCTAGCACAGTTGTATATCCGTGAAATAGTAAGGTTGCATAGAGTTTCAGTTTCGATTATATCTGATAGGGATCTTTGATTCACTTCTCGATTTTGGAATGTTATTCACCAATCCTTAGGCACCAAGCTACATTATAGACATCTTTTCAACCTCAGACCAACGGCTAATCAAAGCGTGTCATCCAAGTTCTTGAGGACATGCTTAGGTGTATAATTATGGACTTTGAGGGTAGCTGGGAGGACCACCTACCGCTAGTGGAATTTGCATACAACAACAACTACCAGTCTAGCATCCAAAGGGCATCGTACGAGGCTTTGTATTGAAGCAAGTGTAAGACTCCCCTATGTTGGTCTGAACTTAGTGAAGGGAAATTAGTGAGTCATGACTTGATTAGAGAAATAAAAGAGAAAGTTAGATTAATTCAGGTTTGGCTAAAGAAAGCGTCCGACAGATAGAGATCATATGTGAACTTAAAGCGTAAGGACATCGAGTTTCTTGTGGGTGACAAGATGTTTCTTAAAGTATCTCTATGGAAAAGAGTATTACGTTTTAGATGTAAAGAAAAGTTATCTCCGTGCTTTATAAGATCATATGAGATCCTCGAGAGGATTAGACCTGTAGCATATCGGTTAGCCCTGCCTCCGAAGTTGAAGCATATCCATAACATGTTCCATGTGTCTATGTTAAGAATATATCATTTTGACCCTTCCCATGTCCTACCATTAGAGCAAGTTACGTTAAGCCAAGATATGTCATATGAGGAGGAACCGATAAGGATTTTAGCAATGGATCTGGAAAAGTTCCGAAGCAAAAAGATCCCTTTAGTGAAAGTATTGTGGAGAAATCATGGTGTCGAAGAAACCACTTGGTAAACTGAGGAAGATATGTATCTTCATTGCCTGCATCTTTTCTATGCAGGTAAATTTAGAGGACAAAATTTCTTATTAGGAAGGGAGAGTTGGAATACCCCAAATCCAAGTTAGTAGTTCATATTGACCCGAAACCCTTAGTTTGAGCCCAAAAAGGCCCATTTGCTAGATGTATATAATTAAGTATTGTGGAGAAATCACGGTGTCGAAGAACCCACTTGGTAAACTGAGGAAGATATGCATCTTCAGTATCTTCATTTTTTCTATGCAGGTAAATTTCGAGGACAAAATTTCTTATTAGGATGGGAGAGTTGGAATACCCCAAATCTCGGGTTAGTAGTCCAAGTTAACCTGAAACCCTTAGTTTGAGCCCATAATGACCCATTGGCTAGATGTATATAATTAAGTTGGATTTAGGCTTGAATTTTGGGCCAAGTTTTAAGAGTTTGGGATAAGTTTATTAAGAATTAAGAGATTAGGAATCCAAAGTGTAATTTTCCCATTTTCAAATTAGAAGCTAAAACCCCTTAATTTTCTAAGATATAAATGTGAACGACTTCTTTATCTTATCCACCAAACATTCTTCTTCACCTCTCCATGTTCTCTATTCATTTTCCTTTCCTCCAAGTAAGGCTTAAAGGATTTCATCATTTCTTTGGGATAGCTAAGGTAAGAAAATTAGTTTCCCATTTCAAAAACTTCATTTTAAGCCCCATATGTCAAGTTTTATGTTTTAAAAGCAAAAATGGGTTTTATTGGGGGTGTATGAAATATAAGGATTTCTAATTGTGTTTGGGGTAGGATGAACTTTAAGAAATGTTTTTAGACTTTCAATGATCTCACGAATAAGCTAGTAACATTATTTCCTTATGTATTAGTGAAAGAAGTTAGAGAAAGGTCTAAGGAAAGGGGAAAAGAGAAGTTGAATTTGGGTGAATTTAGGATTCTTTAACCAAGTCATCAAGGTATAATGGTTGGGGACCTCCTTAGGGCCTTTAGGACAATTTATAAATGTTGAAGATGCTCAAACAGGGAATTTTTGGGTAGTAGTATCGATATTGTATGATGTTGTTAAGACCACGATAAACCTAATGATCCGAGTGACTCGAAAGGGAAGGAGAAATCTTGAGATTAAAAGGATATTGTATAAAAGATTCGGTAGCGAGTCAAAGATAAGTGCAGTTTATTTATTTACTTATTCTGATCAAGGAAGACTTGCGATAAGTCAACCTCACATTATTTTTAAAATATGATTTTATTTTAATTATGAAATATTTCTATAATGCTTAAATAAAGGTTTTATGAATGACTTTAGGGTATGAACCACCCAAGTTATGATTTTTATGATGATGAATTAAAAATAATTCTAATTTGGAAATGTTGATTTTTAAATGTATATGATATGATCTGAAAGCCCATTCTATGTTGTAGTTTTTGGTACACTTGGCATGCCATGAAATTGAGTAATTCCAATTCTGATTCTAATCTAGTACATTCGTGTACATTATTTATTGCACATTGGTACAAATGATATGATTGCACTTAGAGTGCATATTCTGATTCTGATGATAGTACCGTTGGTGCTTAGTCCGTACATTTCGTCTGACTCATCCACATTGCATTCTCTTAAATATACTTTGGGATATGAAAATGAAATATGAAATTTTTGAAAAAGTGTTTGAATGGAAGCGAATATGAAATGATTATTATGTCTGATATTGATTGTCATGATTTTGATAAATCATGAGATTATAATTTTCAGGTTTCTAATGAGGAAAATTGCTTGAATAAATCGATTTGAAAGTTTAATGATTTTATTTGAGTTATATTTTAATGTTTTGACGTATTTATAATATTTTTATGTTCTATCTCACCTTGAATTATTACTATATCACTAAGTTTTACTTAGCGCGTGATGATTTTCATGTAGGTTCAAATAAAGGGAAAGACGTGAAGTGAGAAATCTCCTGAGTATATTTTTGGAGATCATACCTACTATCAGTATCAGTAAGATATCATTGATGTTCTTTTGGCTTTTAGTGGCATGTGTAATATATTTGTTTGTCTGTTTTGATGGATTTATTTAGAAGGGCCTGTAATAGTAAATTATGACTATTCTATTTTGGCTAGCCTTAGTTATATCCGAAAATATGAATGAATAATATATATAATATTAAGATTTAAACAAATATTTAAATGGTTTTTAAATTAAGCAATCTCTAGACAGTTGTACATAGATTATGAAACAACATTGAACTGTCTAATTGCTGCCTAAAATTAGTTTTAATTTGAATGATATATTATAATTATTTTATAATTATATGATTTATTAAATAGTTTTAAATTGTTAATTTGAAATGTTAAAATGAAACAAATATTTAAAGGTTTATATGCAAAGAAAGTAAGAAATGATTAATGTGACATCTTTAACTCGTATTTTGAGATATATACGGGTTATGAGTGTTACACTCACATAAATGAGGAGTCTCATGGCCTCACCAGGCCTGTTATGATTGATGAGATTCAAACTTTATTTTCCATGAAAATAGACCCCATTTTTTATAAAAGGAATTAGGAGGTCGTGAATGACACCTTTTTTATTCTTACATACTGCCCTCAGAACTAGAAAAATAGACCCCCCAAACACTCAGGGTGCATTTAGTTCACGAAATATAAGATTACCAGTGGAAATGTAAGATTACCAGGGAATATGATTACTGGGAATGTTGTATTTTGTGTTTGGTTAGCTTAGCAAGAATATAAGATTATTGTGTTTGGTTAAAGGAATAAAAGATTATTAGAATGTATATTTGACAAAATTGTCCTTATTATATATATTTTTTTAACAAGTTGAAAAATATTTATATATTTTCTTTAAAAAATTTAAATTCATAAAATTTATATAATTTTTACAAAATTAAAAATATAAAAATGTTTAATGAAAGGGTAAAATTTTATTTTAACCCCTGAACTTCATAGAAAATTTTAATTATAGATTTTTTTGTAAATCTAAAATAGTTTAAGGATAAATTTATAATTTAACATTTGTAGAATTTTTAATATTCAATGACAGAAGAATGATATTTTTTATAGAAATTTTTTTAAGGGCATTTTAGTCCAAAACGCTGGTAATCCAACAATACTCAAGGAAAGGGAGGTAATGACATTCCCGGTAATATACCCCAAAAAATATACTATTGGTAATCTTACATTACCGGGAATGGGATTCCCGGGCTAACCAAACGGGAGAATGTGGATTCCATTCCCATGAGAATCTCACATTCCCTCGTCCAAACTCCCCCTCAAGGTTTACTTGGTTTTCATCCCTAAAGTCAATGGAAAAGAAAAAATACATCTTTTCCGATCGATCAACTTATTCAATATTTCCTACAAGATCCTCTCCAAAACCATCATTCATCATCTAAGACCAATTCTCCAAAAAGTGATTGGCCTGTATCAGAATATTTTCCTGGCGGAAAGAAGTTTGACAGATAATATTTTAGTTGTACAAGAAGTTATTCATACCTTCCTGAACTTCAAAGGAAGAAAAGGAGTCCCTGTCTTTAAAATTGATCTTCATAATGCTTACGACAAAGTTAAATGGAAATTCTTACATAAAACGCTAAGCGATTTCAAGTTTCCCTTAGAGCTGATCGACATTATAATGTTCTGTGTTACATCAAGCACTATAGAACCTTTTTGGAATGGAGAAACCACTGAGAGCTTTGAGCCGGCTCAAGGGTTACGACAAGGCGATCCACTATCGCCTTATCTCTTTATCTTGATCTTGGAGAGACTATCCCATACGATACTCGAAAAGGTCGACAATGAAGAATAAAAGGCTATTAAAATATCAAGAGGAGGTCCAAACATTAGTAGCATCTTTTTTGCAGACGATCTGTTACTCTTCATTGAAGCCAAAGCAGAACAAATCATCCAAGCGAAGGAATGCCTAAATCAATTCGGACAAGCTTCGGGTCTCGAGGTAAATTTACTAAAATCAAAACTTTTTGTCTCGCCAAATGTTACGACTGATCTTGCAGGTTACTTGAGCCACTTATGTGGTATTCCACTTACCAACGATCTTGGCATTTATTTGTGTGTTCCAATAATCCACAAGAGAGTGAAGGCTAATACCTACAATCCGCTGATCGACAAGATTATGAAGAAATAAACTGGCTAGAAAGGTAGAGTTTGTCAATGGCAGGC